TCATTTCATGGCACACAACTAAGACATATTGAGGTTAGGATGTTTGACAAATCTACTCTATACCACAAACACTTCTACCCAACTAAACATTCAACAACTCACCAGTCAGGTGCAACTTCTCGCTCAAACCATATTGACAACCCAGGGGAAAAATTAGACTTTACCAGCCTAACAAATATTGACACCCCTAGCAATAGACAACACCTCAATGCCACGATCACCGACCGTACTAAACATCCATAGATGATTACATTACCTAAATAAGAATGGACATAATGACAATCTTCAGAGTCCTTTATAAGGTCATTCGTGCCATTGCAATACATATGTACATAACCAGTATATTGAATGCCTTAGCTATCGTGAGATGGACACTAGTTAACGTAACCATCGTTCTATTCTAATCTCTTGGGCTCCCAAAAGCCTAATAGAAAAAAGACTAAGAGAATGTATATATATGAGCATACCTAGGAGGATAACTATAACCCTCATCAATGAAGAGATTCTTCCTTAACCAAATAAGTATTAAACACTTTACTCCCTAAAGACTATATTTCCATAAAAATAAGTTTGAATAACTATGATGGCCTCACCGACCCGATGGAGCATGTACATAATACACACGATAACTTAAAGTTGGTCATCTAGGGGTTTGTGCATGCATGATATAATAATTTTAAGCCAAATTCTATTGATTGTTTCAATGAAATCCGTGTTAAGTTAGTGACACGTTTCAACATCAGCATACCTTTCATAAAAAGCTTCACGAAACTATTCGGTGTTACCCAATAAGAAGGTGAGTTTACATGAGTATATTTAAAAAGGTTCAATGAGAAGATACTCAATGTGGAAAAATTTCTTGAGTTAGTAGGCTTAAAGGTTTTGATAAAAGAGGTAAGGGAACATACCATCTAGACAAAAATTCATGTCTTACTAGATATAAGCTTGCTCAAGATCAAACAAGTTATGGAAAATCACATACTGGTGGAAGAGACTAGTTTGCTATGACATAAGCTTCTTTGTTTTTACAAGAACAACCAAAATGAAAGACATTCCAACTGAATTCATTCTCCTTGTAGCAATGAAATCTTAAGGAAGAACCATTAAGGATTAACTTATGGTCATTTGATGTATCTTAAGGATCACTAATTGAAATTTATCAGGGAAGTCAAAGCAAACACCTTGATGCCACCTCCAAGACATGTTCATTATAAGAACTTCTCTCATACATATCACTAAGATCACCTCAAGATGTATAATTATTAACAGGAATATAAGTTTATTTTTTAAATAAAAATAAAGTATCTTTAATATATATTTTCTAGCTACAAATCTCTAATGGAGGCTTTCAGACACTTTTCAATGAAATAATTGACTTGGTCTCCTTAATGCAATAACATTACTCTTTTTGAAGGGGATGAACTTGGTTTTCATATGGCAATAATCCCATAATCTTCAATGAATGAGTATGAGATCTTCTTATTACAATGACACATTCTCTAAGTGATACGTAAGGGCATCTTAACAATTTATCAAGGGTTAATCTTGGACCCCTCATTTACTAGTACAGTCATGGAATGATATATTTTTTTAAGTGATGCTAAAGAATCACTGATCAATTTGTCAGGGGTTGATCTCAAATTCCACATTCTTCAATATAGTCTCAAATTGACACATTCTCTAGGCAATACCCTATAACCTCTCACCAATTCAAAAGTGGTTGATCTCGGATCCCTTATTATCCAGTGCAGTTTTGGACTGACATGTTCTTCAAATGATGCCGAAATGCCTCATAAATTCATTGGAGATTGTTCTTAGATCTCTCATATAATTGTTCTTGGATCTCTCACATTTTTAATATAGTTTCGGACTAACACCACTCTTTAGTGGAAGGCCTTCATATCTCATGCCATCTTATGGAGGTCATATACCTCTCACACACCATTGATCACTTTTTAGTGGAGGGCTTCCAAGCCACTACAGCATCACTAGAAAAGCTATAGACCTCCATTTCTTTAGTGAGATCTTTCCCCAATTAAGGGCTTTCATGCCTTATTCCATCTTAGGTCATATAACTCCTATACTATAGTGTGACCACTCTCTAGTGAATGATTTCCCCAATTAAGGGCTTTCATGCCTTATACCATCCTAGGTCATATAACTCCTATACTATAGTGCGACCCCAATTAGTTTTCCTAGTGCAACAACACCACCTTTCATGGGTTTATCACCTCTACCACTTAGTAATTTTTCTAAGTATAGGCATTGATATGGATTTGTTCCCCTAATTACTTATAAATTTTTTCTAAGCATGAACATTGATATGGGTTCGTCCCTATAACCATTTGGAAATTTTTCTAAGCATGGGTTCCTCTTTGGTTTCCCCTTTTAAATACTTAGATTTTTTTTTAATCATGGTGTATGCCTTTACACATGAGCTCCCTGATATATTACTCGGGGTTTTCACCTCTTTTCTTATACGAAGAAAATTTAATGAACTTTTTATAATAACCAGGTATTTTTACAAATCTTTATAGATTAATACCACAAAGACTCGGAGGGCTACTAATGGATCCAAATAAAATGGGCCTAATAAATCCCTCAAAAAAAGGAAAGAAATCCCAAAAAACTCCCTAGGAACGCTTAGGCCATCACACTCAAGCCTAATATGTTTGGGCCTAGATAGCATGTTTTGACCTATTTTTCATCTTTTTGGGCTTGGGCACCCTAACACTCATTGCAAATTTTTTCAGGACTCCACGTGGATCCCTCAATATTTTAAGTTGATCCTACTCATATTATTTTAAGTAGAATACAATTTAAAATATCACATGGTTAAAATTATACTTCAGCCCTTCATCTCTAGAAAAAGACAAGACTAATGGGGTATAAATACACTATGAGTCCTTTAAACTTTAGGTTTATAATATCTTTATTATTAGCAATTTCAGCATATATATTTTTTGAGACTATCTCTTTAAAATATCATTATTATTTTTCTTTCAGTAAAATTACTAACATAAGTATATAAGATTCCATACATCCATCAAAGAGAACATTTTGGAGGTGCTAATTACCAACTATATTGGCTTATATAGCACTACTAGGTATCAACCACTTGAGTTTTTCACATTAAGCCACTAAACATTTTAACTAGAAAGAATGAATTATAGTACTCGAATTAAAAGATTAATTGATTATTTAACCTGTCAACTTTATTTCTAAACCTCGTGGATTATAGATCTTGTTATACAATATGTACATCTTGTTATCAATCTATTGTATTTTATTGGCTTTCTTTTAAGAGTAGATAAAGGAACATTTCAAATTAATCTCCATTTGTTTCATTTAATATACTCAAGCTATATCTCCCTAACAAAACGTATAAACATATGCATCTTACAAAAGCAATCATATGACAAAAAGCTGTATATGGACCCCTAACTAATAATTGAACAAACATAAAAAACAAACAGACACCTCTCTTCGGTATTTTCCTCTCCCGATACTTGTATGATCTATGTCATAGTAGACTCTTCAAAAATGCAATGTAAGGCCATAATTGAGCTAAACTCTTATTGCCAAACGTGACAACCCAATGTAAAATAGCAGTTAAATCGATGTCACAAGTGTACAAAATAATGAATTTCACGAGTAGCTCGCCCCCCGTATTAATGTCATTCACACTTTAAAAATAATAGCTCGGACACGCTATCTTTTTAAATTCATTGCAAAGAAATTCAAGTGAAGAGAATATATATATATATATATATATATATATATATATAATGCAGAATATCTGGGTTAGCTTATGCATACTACGATTAATTCTCGGGTCCATTGAATACTCTATAAGCTCAGTAAGCAGGTAAAACATATCGGGGTGGCAGGTATGCATAGAAAGAATCGAACTTGGGTGCAGAGGAAGGGAACAATCCTTGTCCCTATCAGACCACAACCTTAAATACAAGAATCAATTTTTTATTTTACAAGTTAATGTGTCTTTTTTTTATGTGTTTCAATTTTCCCGGTTTTTTTTTTTAATTTTGAATTTTTTTTAATGATTTTTAATGTTATTTTTAAAATTTCTCAAGGTTTGAGTTTATTTTTTTTAGGCTTTCCAAAATTAATTTTTCCAAGATTATATCTCAATAAGACGCAAACACTCACATCTAGTTTTTTTTTTTTTGACGCAAACACTCACATCTAGTTTTTTTTTAAAAAAATTATCTTCTAGTTTTTTTAAAACATAAACACAAACTCATCTTCTACTAGGCTGCTATACCAAATCCACAACTAGTTTTATATTGTGTTAGGATTAGTTGTACCAGCTGATATTAATTCTTAATTGGATCAATGACGGACGAGAATGTGTTTTTTTATATACTAGGATGAATGTTTTGAAAAATTAAGAAGGGTAAATGGCCCCCTTCACCTGCACCTAAACAACACCCCCACCCCCCACGTCTTCATATATATAAAAAAGAAGAGTAGACTTTCTTATAATATACTAATAATTATTATTTTAGACTTTCTTATAATATACTAATAATTATTTTTTTTTATAATATACTAATAATATACTAATAATTATTACTTGTGCTTTCAGCCGAGAAAAATAAAAATAATACTAGACCGTCACTTGGTCTTTCTAACAAAAAATAATCTCTTTCTAACAAAAATAAATTGCAACATCTTCCTTGAGAATTTTATTATACATAAGTAATTTCTTCACCTATTTATATATTTATATTTCTATAACCTTTTGAATCTCAAAAAATAATTAATAAAATATCACTAATAACTCCATAAGCACAGCTAAAATTTTCGCATATTGAGATCACATTCTAAGTTTCGATCGAATACCGGCACTACCTACCTATTTCGACGTCAGTCAACCCGGTCAGACTCATGATGATAGAGAAAGAGACACACGTCCATCGCCCACCGTTAAAAAATAAAAATAACAGAAAAACACCTATATAAACCGACTCCCGCTATTTCTTCATATCTTGCCATCAAAACACGCACACCTCTCCCCCTCTCCCTCTCATGGATTCCCCTCCACGCTCCTCCGTCATCATCATCGGCGCTGGAATCTCCGGTAACTCGCAACCTACACATACATACGTACACGAACACTTGTAATTCGAGACTGAAGGTTAAGCTATTTTGTTCTGTTTCTTGTCTTAAAGGTGTATCCGCAGGAAAGGTTTTGGCGGAGAATGGAATAGAGGATATGGTGATTTTGGAAGCTTCAGACCGTATAGGTGGTAGGATCCGAAAGGATAATTTCGGTGGCGTTTCGGTTGAGCTTGGAGCCGGTTGGATCGCCGGAGTTGGTGGTAAAGAGTCCAACCCTGTTTGGGAACTTGCTTGTCAATCTGGCCTCCGCACTTGTTTCTCTGATTACAGCAATGCTCGCTATAATATCTATGATCGCAGGTATCTGTATCACGGCTCGATTCTGAGCTTTCTATTTTTCTTCGCATGTTTTTTTTTTTAAAAAAAAATTGCTGTAAAATGCTCCAACATTTGGACCGTTGAAATCTCAAGAATATATATTTTTTTTCGGACGCTAAAGAAAGAGGTTGTGTTGTTGGTGTAGTGGGAAAATATATCCTAGTGGAGTGGCGGCAGACTCGTATAAGAAGGCGGTAGACTTAGCAATTGAGAATCTGAAGAGTTTAAAAGCAAACCTTGCCGGTGAAGTTAATGAACCGCCTAGGTAAACTCCAAGCCTTTAATGTGATGTTTTGGTTTGTACCGCTAAAATTAATCGATAAAGATATAGTTCTTGATGGTCTTAACTAATTTTAATCTTAAATTTTTGATGTTTTGTGCTTGTTTAGTTCACCAAAGACGCCAATAGAGCTTGCCATTGACTTCATCCTTCATGACTTTGAGATGGCAGGTTGGTTTTCCAAATGATTTTACACTCTATTTTCTGCTTGTTTCCTAGGAAAATAAAGTATCTTGTTAGTCTGGTTTAGCTTGTAAAACAACTAGTACAGATTAATAACCACAAACGGGTTTATTTTCTTTTATTGTAATGATTGATTGAAGACAGAAACAGAGACTCTAATGGGTTATTTTGTGAAAACAGAGGTAGAGCCAATATCAACGTTTGTAGATTTTGGAGAAAGAGAATTTCTAGTAGCAGATGAAAGAGGCTATGAGCACCTGCTTTACAAAATGGCTGAGAATTTTCTTTTTACCTCCGAGGGCAAAATCTTGGACAACCGTCTCAAACTCAACAAGGTAATTACAACAGACAAGAAAGAAACAAGAGGAAAAACCTTTTGATTTCTATTTTATTTTTTTGTTGTTTCTGATTTGTTCTGTTTTGGATTTGTTTATCGCTTTTAAGCAATTATTAAGGCAAGGGGGCACAGTTAATTCTTAATAGAGTGAAAACACCAAAGAAGGAACAGCAAAAAAGAAAACGAAAAAAAATAAAAATCGGAAACTGTGCTCTGTTCTGTATGCATGCAGATGCAAAGCTAGCTTGTAGCTGTTAAGATTGATCGACCAACTTCCGGAGCTTGCAGATAATGACGTTTTAAGCCTTTTCTTAAATATTCTTTTCTTAATACCGTTTTGCCAAGAATCCAGCAATTTTATTTTCTGGGTTCTATTATTTTTCGAATATTTCAACAGTGGTAAAGTTATAAATATTTTCCCCTCATATCATTATAACATTGGAGCTACGAAAGGAATATTTTTGCTGGGCTTTTATTGAAATGTTCACCACCTTTCATGGAAATGGACTCTGTCGATTAGCATTCACTACTAGTATTATATTATATTTTACATAATTTCAGTCCGTGGAAAAGCTGAAAGGAAACCAAGTCACTAGCTATCCAGCCAGACCTAGAATTTCCGGTCTTTGACCCTTTGCTAAATATCCCGATTATGAAAACAAACCAAACTTTCAGTGAACTTTTTGAGTGAGGACCCCTACATAGAGCCATTAAAAACTGACCCACCAACATGCTTCGTTTTTCAATCATATAGCCATTGAGTGGCAAAAGGTTCCTCGTCATCTTTCAATCAGTAAAGTGCTTTTTACCGCTTTTGAATCTGTAGGTCCATGAACACCAAGTTGCTCTAACACTGACAAGAATTAGACCACTACGGTTAGGAGGTTGAGATGTCATATCAACTCAAAGAACACGAGATTAGCTAGGCCTGTCAATTTCTTCATTTATGTTTCCCGTATTCTGTTGCCTAAAGCGAAATAGAAGGGGGGGAAAAGATTGCCTAGTTTGCTCTAAAAAGTCAGAGCTCAGAACCTAATGAAACCTTAGGGTGATTGAACAGTGAGCTATCACTGCAATATTTTTTTTAATAGATACATCAATTAGATTCTTCTTCGACTCTGTTCCATCTCCATCTCTTGCTTTGACTTCACAGAATCTGATCATTTGAGTTGTAATAATTGTTGATTTGCTTGGATTCTGCTAGGAGTACTATATTCATTTTTACCATCTCATGGATGAACTGTATCTGGGCGCGAGTTTCAATTTGATTTTTGTTGAATTTTTGTTTTTTTAATTAGCTGGGCGCGAGTTTCAATTTGATTTTTGTTTTTTTAATTAGTTTTTTTAAAATCTTTTTGATATGGTAATTTCAAAAATAAATTTTAAAAAATTAAAAAAATATATTTCAAAAGACAATCTAATATTCTCCTATTCATCTCTCACTATTTTTTGGTTTTTTTTTTTTAATGCATGATGATTTTGTGGCACGTTTTTGGGGCAGGTTGTCAGGGAATTACAGCACTCGAGAAACGGCGTTGTTGTGAAAACGGAGGATGGTTGCATCTTCGAAGCCAATTATGTGATTTTGTCAGCAAGCATTGGTGTCCTCCAGAGTGATCTCATTTCCTTCAAGCCTCCCTTACCCGTACGTCTTCTCTTCCTCTATTTAACTTACTTAACGAGTCATGTGTGCTTCTTCCAAATATCCATAAATAATCCCTCTCAGGTGATGGTTCTGATACCCTTTTATCTGTCTTGATGCACTCCGCCTTCGTTGTCTTTATTTTGTTTCCCTTTTGTTTGCAATGGTCACATCCGGAGCTTTCAATTTGTCTTGGTCCAATGGAGGGGAATCTATTACCTGTATAGGGACTAGGACCTAGGCCCTGGGGGGTGGAAGTAGCAGGATTCTTCCTTCGATATATAGGGTTGTGGCCCAGGAAATTAAATACTATCATTAAGTAGAAGAGTCAAGAATTCATGGCAGCTAGGCCCTGTATTAAACAAGGTTTAGGTGGTGTGATGATGCAAAAGATAGCTTTTCGAGGTGGCTTACTGTCTTTATAGAGAGCAAATACCGTGGGTTGAATGTCCGGTGATCCACAGAATTGGTAACCCACAGGCTCACAAATGGCTGGATAGCTGTTCCTTGGTGGATCATTTGGTTGAACCACCACGCGTAGGGCCCTAACGAGACAACTCAAGTTTTTATTTTTTATTTTGTAACAGTTGTTTCCCATCAACACTCCTAGTGAACAATGATAGCTAGGGATCTGTTCAAAGTAAATTAATAAATAAAATCAATGTCAGGGATAACTCTTTTTTCCCCTTTTTTTCTTCTTTAACCTGGGCCTACATTTGGTGGATTACTCTTGGACACACTGGTGTGTCAACTCCAACATCTAGCCATGAACCGTACGTAAGAATCTTTGTGATTTGATCAAGTGACCTGGGATACAGGCAAGTGAGCAGTTTGTGTGATGTAAGATTATTGCTCTGAAAAGGAAGAGCTAAACATCGCAAATTACAAGGCACCGGTTAAGAATCTTGCGGTTTGATTGCTTCAATTACGTAATTTTCTTTTTCTTGCCTTGCCGGACTTTCAACGGAAAAATCATTGTCAAATCGCCCAAGCCTATGTGCTGTAAAATACACAAGGGCTAAGCAGGTGATCTGTACCTTCTAGTGAAGGTTATAGGATGCCAATCTGTTCACATGATTTGCGTAATTTGTTGGGTAGATCTTCCGGGAGTGCCTTAGAGGAGTATGAACTTTTATTCCTTGATCTTAAATTGAGAAAATACGTCACCTGGATTATTTTTTTCCGTAGGAAGTTAAGATATTAAAGCTGACTCGCATCATATTATAAGTAATTGTTCTCTGTACAAGTATTTATTAAATGAAATAAATAAATAATGCAGAGGTGGAAAACAGAAGCCATAGAGAAATGTGATGTGATGGTATATACAAAGATTTTCCTGAACTTCCCATACAAATTCTGGCCATGTGGTCCCGGAAAAGAGTTCTTCATCTATGCTCACGAGCGAAGGGGATACTACACCTTCTGGCAGGTTATTTCTCCTCCTTGTTTTCGCTTCCCAAGTTGCTGCTCCCCATTCTGCATTGCTTGCTTCTATTGAGTGGAATTTGAAAACAATTGTTTACATTTGGAACTTCTTGCCCTTTTCAAGACAACGATTCAATTCTGTGCCTGTACCAACGTGCCTTGCATTTAAAATTTCCAATAACAGCAACTCCAGGCCAACGTTTAGTCTAGCAAGTCAACTTGTCAAGAGACTGCATGATGTTGATATTTTATTTCCAATCGAAATACGCATACAGCTTGCTGCTTGGCAACTTAGATCTAGCGTCAAACAGTTTCAGCATCATGATAAAAAAATGTTGATTAGCTTTCTTGCACAGATAGCAAACTAGAATCTCTTGCATTATCTGTTTTTTATTGTTCTTCGAGCTATGACGCACCTGGTGTTTCTGTCATTGTAATAGAGCTGGTGATATTAGTTTAATTGAGGGAATCGGTTGCGATGTCAACCTGTTCTTACTTTCTATTTTTCTATGCGTAGACATGATAATCAATTTTGAGACCCACAATATCAAAAATTATGTCCTCTCACTTGATTAGGAGAGGATTGAAATAATTTAATGATCATCTGTGGTCTATTGCGGAGGCAATGTGGGATCTCACTAACCCCATCATTTTCAGTATTTTTTTATGTAATATCAATGCAGATTCTATGCCGTTAAAATGGCAAATAGATTTGATTTGATTAATAAGCATAGTATCTCTTAATAATCAAATCATAGTTAGTAACTCTCTGGATTTATCCAAGCTGGCTGCTGATTTTTGCTTTGTCATCAGCACATGGAAAATGCATATCCTGGTTCGAATATCCTGGTCGTGACTTTGACGAATGGGGAATCGAAACGCGTTGAAGCACAGTCTGACGAGGAGACGTTGGAAGAAGCCATGGGGGTGCTTAGGGACATGTTTGGACCCCATATACCCAATGCCATTGATATACTTGTGCCCCGCTGGTGGAACAACAGATTCCAGCGTGGCAGCTACAGCAACTACCCCATCATTTCAGACAATCAAGATGTTCATGACATTAAGGTATTTCCATCTTATTTCTGTTGCATGTGTTCGTCTGTTTTCACTCTGGCTGTACATGGCAATTCGAAGTTACAAGTTGTTTCATAGAAAGGGAGGGGAAAAAATAAATAAGAGTGCTCTGAAATGCATTTCTAAATCTTGCTTGTTTTGATCAGGCCCCAGTAGGACGCATCTTCTTCACCGGTGAACACACCAGTGAACGATTTAGTGGTTACGTCCATGGTGGATATCTTGCTGGTGAGAATGCAGAATTTCCTTTTAAGACTTATAATGGAGGAACTCTATATGCCAATGTGCTATCTGGATCTTACATTTTATATATATATATTCTTGATCGTCTAAATAGGTATTGACACAAGCAATTCACTATTGGAAGAAATGAGAAAAGAGAAGGAAAGAAAAAGTGAGAGTCAAACATTCTTGTTAGAGCCCTTGCTGGCATTGACAGGATCATTAACACTCACACAGGCAGAGGCAGTCCCAAGCCTTCATAAATGTGACATTCCTACAAACCTGTATCTTAGTGGCAAGGTTGGTCTTCAAGAAGCGATATTATGACTAGATGGACCTACTAACGAATCCAACTTTGATGATGCTAGCTAATGATGATAATATGTTCGATGTGAAAGGAGCTGACTGGATCAATTTGGACCCAAATTCAATCCGGATCGTTCATGCCCTTCAGAAAATAGAATGAAACGGGAAAAACTGCAGGAAAACAGGCAGATGTATGCGACGAGGTGAACAGACATGTCTAACTCCTGATGCTTATAGATTCGTAAAGGGCCTTGCCTGTTTGGCGCCTGGGAGGGGATTGTTTTAGGCATACATGTAAAATTGGCTAATTGGGGATCGATGAAAACAAAGCAGACTTCTGATTCTAATTGTACTAGCCACTTGTTTATACAAGAGAATCCCTTCTTCCAAAATCATCTACCTTTTGAATTGTGCCGCAACTTGGTGTCTGTCGCACTTGCAGCATCTATAGCGATAACCAGTCAGATAAAATATATACGATGAACACTGGATAAAGAAGTTCAAGGCCGTCTTCACGTCAGATTTGGACAAGGCCGCGCTTTTAAATGGAATAGTGAGAGAAACGAAGCAACCAAAAGATTCTCTGTACAGCCTCAAATAAGAAGGGCTCAGATAAGATCAAAACATGCTAATTGTGATAATTTTCTTAAAAATATCATTGTTTTTAGACTATTAAAATAGTAAAATATCAACCAAAATACTTTTTTGTACAATGCTTTGGCAATAGGAAGGGCATCCCTGTTGGCCTTCACAGGATAAATCTTGGTATCCGCTTGCAGTTTCTTTGAGAAGGCTATCCATTCACAGGATAAATCTTGGTATCCGCTTGCCGTTTCTTTGAGAAGGCTATCCATCCTTTTCTTTTATTTTCTTCCAAGCTTTTCAATCAAATGATCAAAATAGGTTGAAGCTCTGGGAGATAATAGTCTTCTCATAATTGGTTGAAGCTCCTGGAACAAAATTGTTAAGGACATGCTCCTGCCTATACATGGAGCAAAAATTTCTTAAAAAGAAAAAGGAAGAGAATTCCCGGCACGTGCCATGGAAGGCCACGTGATCAGCTATGGAAACAGAGAGCAAACGCCACGCAAGCAAGTGCTCACAATACAGTGCACCACATCCTCGCGGAACCCTTTAAAACCCCTAAAATTTAAACCCTCAAAAAACCCTAATTCCGCTTAGCTTCCAGTTGGAGAGGGAGGGAGGGAGCCATAAACACTAACACCCAGATTCCCTAACTCAAAAAAACCTCCCATTTTGTACATATATTAAACAAACAAACACGAAAACCCACAATTTTGAATAAGCAAAGATGGAGGATGAAACGGTGAACAATGTTATGTGCCAGTTCACAGACCAAGAAGGGACACCGCTGGGAGCTCCTTTATATCTTCCTCAGAACGCTGGTCCACAACAACTTCAACAAATCGTTAATAAGCTTCTTAACAACGTAAGTTTCGATTTTTATTTGTTTAGCGATACTGGGT